CCAATTTGGTGTCGTCTGCAAACTTACTGAGGGTGCAAAACCTATAGCAAAACCTATAGCAAAACCTATTTTGGAACAGAATAGTTTCAAGTGTACTTGGTGGGTCTCTTTTGAACAGCCCGCTCCCCTTCCCCCTCCATTTTGGTTTGGAAATGTTTTGTCGACCTTCATTGCCAAAAAGGATGAGAATAAAACCCAGGAAAGGGATCGAGTGAGCAGGCAGGGAGAGAGGGGGATGTGTCACATGAGAATAGGCAAGACTTGCTGGGTCACAAAATTCCCCAGGCATTTGCTGGGCTGTATTTGGACACCTTCTGCATTCAGACACCTTCTGCCTTCATTGTAGATGGCACCATTTGCCTGGAAGTCTCGAGCACAGCAGAGAAATGCCATCGCTATTTCTTAGTCAGGGAAACCAAGGCACGGTGTTGCTGGTGAACACCCACAGGGTTGGAAAAGGGTTTCTGTCATCACGAGGCATGCTGTAAATCCTAAAATTTTTTATCAGTCTCTCCAAGACCACTGTCAAGCCTTTAACCATAAAAAGCACATCATGACCTGACAGTCCCCTTTTAATTACAGAAGGCCATTACAGATAGTCAAAGCTGATGTACTTCACTAGAAAGTCTTTTCTTCAAATACTTGGGACCACTGCCACAGCTCCAGTTTGGGAACGTTTGCATTACTGTTCTGCAAGAGCTACTAAAGCAAGTACTTGCTCACAACATCTCTTGCAGGTACTTTTTTACTGGTAACAAATATTTTGATGAAAGGCAAAAGGAGAAGTTAATTTAAGTGTATGCCTCAAACATCAGCAGTGGGAAAACACTAACAAACAGCATAGCAGGACTTTACTGCAAATGCAAGCACTTACAGGTTTTGACTGTCCATCTATTACAGATGCTTGCTAAGGGGAAGATGAGCCTTACAAGATTTTTTGCACATAATAATCATTCCTTGGGGTCCAACGTGTAAAGAGAAAGGACTGCTTAGTCACAAGAAGAGCAGGTGTGGAATGCGTGTGTTTCTGCCAAGATACTGAGCAATTTTTCTCATCTCCTGTGGAAACATCTGTGACAGCTTTCCCTTACTACTTTTAGATGTTGCAACCTAATATTTGAAGTTAATGCTGTGGGTGCATATGCTATTTTTATGCATCCCGTGAGCGAAAGAAGAAGTTCAGAGTTCATTTATTAATCAAAACATAAACTGTTTGTAACACTTGCCTTTTCATACATGGGAGATTTTGAGAAGTTCCAGCTGAAATCCCCCTACACACTTTTCTTGTTGCTCTCAGAGAAACACTAGTGGGTTTCATCAGCTCTGTGGGGTTTGAGCATCTGTCTATGGGGGATGCAAAAAATGAGAAATACCTACTTTGTGTTTTTTCTCGGCAGGCACAACCATAGTAAATAAATGAGGTCTAGCCATTAAAAAAATTAAAAAATCAAACCTGATGGTATGCAATGTCTTGCTTCCACCCTCTGGCAGTTATGGCTTGGAGCATTCAGGCAACCTCGTGAGGCGCATCTGGAATTGTACCAGGATGTTATAGGTGCCATTATGCATCTGGCACAAGTCTTTTCCCCTTTTCACAAGATCATTCGGTGTCTTCTACACCTAATTCATATGCCAATCTTTGCTTACCTCCCAAAGGAAAAAGAATCATTTTTCTTAAGAATATTAAACAGATTTTTTTTGTTTAAAAGTAGGATCACTAAATGACATTCATATGTTTGCTAGTGTTGGGACAAAAATTAATTTCAGCTTAAATATTGCGCTGACCATTGTTATTTTTGCTATGTAAATAGTAATATATGCATGGAGTACTACTAAATACAGTAATAGATAATTTTTTAATCAGAGGGCTTTCATATTAACTCAGACTTGAATGGAACTAGAATTGCCACTGCACTTAAATGGTTAAAAAAAGTAATGTTCTCAGAAACAGGGACCTAGAAGCAGAATGTGGTTTGGACCCCTGTGCCATCAGCACATGCACTGAAGTAGAAGGCAGGCTGGTGAGTTGCCATATGGAATCCTGTGAATTGCACTCCCGAATGGAGCTATGAGCCTTTATAGATTTTGGCCTGAGCCAGCTGAACTAATCAGACTGGCTTTGAGCTGGGGCTTGGACCAGATGACCTCCAGAGGTCCTTTGTGACCCAAATTATGGTATGATTTTATGGCCAAGGAATAAATAGGTTATTTTCCACAGGGGATAGACAGGTTCTTATCTGTTCAGATCTCCCCTGGAGTTCTACCCAGGTTGAAAACAGCTTCCTGCACTCCTCCCCTTTCTTTATTCCTTGCAAATACCATTCGTATAAATAGGAATCAACAAGCAGGCTTCATGTGAGCGAGTAAGCGTGAATGATGCCTGTAGTTCATCCTTCTTGCTGGCTAAGACAAAATGTGACAGCATCCGCAAATCTTCTAGGGTGAGAAGGAGTTCAGAAGAAATGATCTTTAGGGAAGGTTTTGAGGGATACCATGATGCCCCCAAAACCTGACACTAGAGGGAAGAAAGTTGTACAGGCACAAAACCTCCACAGGTGAAATCCTGTGGTGCAACTACATACAAATTCACTATTACTGTCTTGCATAAATACATGCATTTAGTCCTTTGGTCCACAAGCCCGCACATCCCAAACAGCAATAAAGCTAATCCTACAGATACATTTAAGGGAAAAGAACAAGAGTTTTGGCTCACTGAAGCAGTTCAGCCCTTTCAGAGAAAGGAGGACATGTGGCTTCATGGTTTCACTACCTATTGCTCTTTCCTCATCCGTAATCACCACTTCTCAGTTGGGATGCTGCAGTGCTGCCGTTAATAACCAAATAGAAACAGGGTTCTTCTACCCTCTTGTCCTTTTGTTTTTGCCAAGCTCTTCATTTCCAGACTGCAGCCTGATTACTTTCATGTTTATTGGTCACTGCTGGGGCTTTGGGGAGGGAGAGGCAAGATTAGATATCAGGGTTGTCCTCCAAGGTAATGGTAGATACAGATGCTGTTTGCTCAAATGTGAGCAGAAAGTAATGGATTTTGTCACTTTGTGTTTTACAGCCATCTCAGACCCCAAAGTGGAGGTTAAGCTTATACCCAGTCCAGACAAAGCTGAAGACTCCGAGAAAGTGGTGGGGATGAGCTGCTCAGCAACAGGGAAACCAGCTCCAAAAATCACCTGGCACCTTCCCAACATCCTGCAGCAGAAACCAAAGGAGTACCACATCATGCTCGGCAACCAGACTGTGACTGTCATCAGCAATTTCACCCATGCCCGCTCCAAAATCCTCCAAGAGTATCCCATTGCCTGCGTGATCCAACACCCTTCGCTAAACATGACCCTGGTCCTGCCCATGGACACCTTGGTGCAGGGTCAGTATACAACACTGCTCCTGTCCTGGAGCGGGAAGGAGATGGTGAAACACCTCCTGGGGTAGATCAGGAAACTCCTCTGAGGGCCAGGGGGCAGGTGGGGAAGGCACATGGAAGACCAGCCAAAGCTGGGCTGGGGAGGGACAGAGGAGCACCCAAACACCCTTGGCAATGGCATACAATGTCTTACTGCTTGTCAGGTGCCCTGCACGCTGTGATGTGCCCCAGCCTTCCTGCCTCTGCCGAGGGCTTGCAGGGTTTCCCTGTCACATAGCCTGGTGCACCAAGAGGACGTGCGGCTTTGGGTAGCTCAGAGGGGCTGGATGCCACACGCCCGACCGTGGCATCAGACCCCAGACACAGGTCTGCTGGCGGTGCTGCTTGTGTGTGTGCCGGCACATCCTCCCAGTGCCCCTATCCGCCCTGTCTCACCCCGGGGACTGGCCAAGGAATGTCTGAAATGGGTTTGGGTTGTTTTCTTTTCTTCATGTATAAACTGAGTACCTGCTGCTTTCCCCACAGGTCTGGACAGCAGTGTGTCACCAGCCGTTGCAGTGGGAGTGCTGGTCTCCCTGACTTCCCTCCTCCTTCTTGCCTGCCTCCTCCACCACTGCCTCAGACACCTACGTGATCCAGAGAGAAACCCAGCGCAGCCATGCTGGGTAGGTCTACCTTTCCCCAGGCTGCTGCAGGGCTCACCTACACCAGTTGAAGGGCTTGCCGCTGGGACCCAGCTCTGCCCAGCCACCCCGGAGATGGCTGCATGCTGCCCAGCCCGGGCTGCACCCGGGGCAGGGAGGGACGAGGGGATCAGCCCCCAGTCAGACAGCTGGGTAGCAGCATGCTGGGAAGGGGAAACCTGAAGGTCCTTAGCCAGGCCCATAGGCGCCCGCAGTGACAACAGCTGGAAAACGTTCACTTTCTCAGTGACAAGACATGCTGCAGAGGAAGCGTTTCTCTGTTACTATATTTATGCACAAAATAGTTGTTCAAGCAGTGGCTGTACCCTTGCACCATTCTTCTACATCTCCTAAAATAACCTCCCTGCGGCACAGCCAGCGCAGCTGGTGGAGGAAGCAACTTTAAGGATGTGTCTCAAACAAAATGGGGTCTTTAGAGGAAGAGCATGCCTCTGTGTGGAAAGCCCAGGTTGCTGCAATGCAGCAGGGGCCAAGGCACTGCTGGTTGTCCACTGAGGCCATCCTGGCACAGGGGGTGAAGAAGGCAAGCTTGAGGCAGGGATAAACTGAATGAAGTGGCATCGTTTCAGAAAATCACAGCCCAGTTTTGTGCTGAAGGCACCTCAGCCTCCTCACGGGATATGCACAGAGCATACACCCTTAGTTTTGATGGGTGTTTTGGAGACAAAAAGCCATGGGAAGAAATGAGATACATGTCTTCGTCCACGGGTGCCATGCCTCTAAGTCCAAGCTGAAACCTGCTGCGGGGGGTGCGAGGGGAAAACTTTAGTCTCCCCTCACACAGAGAGATGCAAGAACCCATTTGGTAACGCACACAGCCTGGATGTCTACCCCTGCACTTAAGATATCCCTATATTTTGAAGAAGGAAAAAAACCACAACAACCTCTCTTCCATTAGGTCCTTCCTGCTTGTACCAAGGCCAAGAAGTACGGGCAGTATGGAGCTGCGGGCAGACAGGCTCCCGTGGTGCCCCTCAGCCCCAGCGCACCACCAAACACCTGAGCAGCTGCCCGCCCTACATGTGCGAGAGAGCAACTTCTTCAACAGCACCTCTGGCTTCCAAGCAAACCTGCTGTGACTTCACTCCAAGGGAAATACAAAAAAGGACAATCTAAAATAGCTATTTATTTATTTTGTTACACTATAATGTTCCGTTTTATAGAAAAAGCTGTAAAGTATTTATTTGAGACTCAGACTGTCTGTGGGGATCTGCATAATGAAACTCACGTTTTGGTATTTTCTGGGGTTTTGAAAGTTATGCTTATTCCTTTCCAAGATTTTTTTTTTTAACACTGCAAGTTCAAAACTGTGTGGAGGACTGTCTGAAGCAGGGCAGCATTTTGTAGGTGTGCTGGCCTGGGAGGTGTTGCTTATGGGTCAGAGACCCCCGCTGGGAGCCAGGGTGCAGAAAACCTGTGGAGCAGCCTAGCACGCTGCTGTGAGCTTCGGGTGTTGAACCTGTTCCCCAAAGGACACGAGAGATCAGGCCAAGACCTCAGCTGGCCTGAACTTGTAACCCAGGTGCCAAGTGGCACAGGCTTCAAGCCAGGAGTCGTCAGGCATGAGGAAGCTGCCAACTCCAACTTTCACTAGCTTGTCCTAGAAAATAATGCAGAAGCAAAGCGCACACAGATGTTTCCTTCTCCCCTGTTCCATGGTTTCCACAGCCCCCTTCTTAATTTCCCTAATCCATCACAACTGTCTTGTGTTTCCAGGCATCCCACCTGCCTGCAGGAGGAAGTAGGGGAATAAATGGGCAGTCGGAGGGGCAGTAGGCCCTTCCTGGTGGATTTTATGTATGTCATGGTGTAGTGGCAGGTTAGTGAAGTGGGAAACAGGAGGCCGGTAGGAGCGAGTGCGGGGCAGCAAGTGTTACCTATTGCTAAAATTCAATGCTTATAACCTGTAGGTCATATCTGAGCAGTTCTCCTGTAATTCCCTGAATCCCACCCTATGACCATGAAACCTCTCCTTGTAGACCCGGGGAAGGAGAAATAAGCCCACCTGGCTGGTGTGGTCTTGTGGGCAGCATGAAGACAGCCAGTGCAGGCTGTTAACTCTCCTCCTGGCTTCCCGGAGCAAGTGCATGTCATCTGGGTTTCCCTCACGCATCTATTTCAAATCTGCATCCCGGATGAATCAGGCCGAGTTGTAGTCAAAAAACCAATAACCTAAAATGAAAGCGAGTGGGTGAGTTGAAAATGAATAAACCCAGTCCTTGGCACAAAACACTTTTTTAGGCTCCCTGACACTTAGTAATAGTGCAGCTGGTGAGTGCAGGGAAAGGGGAACTGGCTGCAACCGTCACAATCAGGATTTTTTTCTCCTGAGCCCCATAATTGTCAAAGGAGGAAGCTGCATTCTGTCCAAGCTTTCCCACCATTGCAGCTTAATTTTCTCTTCCTCTGTGAGGGAAGGGGCCAGGGGAGAAGCAGGTTTTTCCCCTGGGTCAATGGTTTGTGGGGGGCAGGATGCAGGCAAGAGGACAGTGCTCAGCCCCTGGTGCTCCTCCTGAACAGGTTGTGCAGTGTCAGCCCTTGCCACTCAGCAGGGTCCGCACTTGCACTTCAGGGGATTTTTTGAGAGGTTCTTTTGAGTTTTAAAAGAAGGTTTCAACTAATGTTTAAACTAACAGATTTTTTTTTTTTTTTTTTTTTTTTAAGAGAGAAATGAGTCTCTTGCAGAAACAGGGAGTCTGGACACAGGTAATGAAAAGGATTTTCAGAGGGAAGAGAGAAAGGCATAAAGCTAGTGAGAAACCTTATAAACCCAGGAATATTGCAGAGATTATCTATTATTATTTCCTACAAGCTGATCACCTGGAGTGGGGGAAAGTAAGGTTTGGAGTCATGAAAGCATCTGTTTACAAGTAGGATTGTAATTTCTTTTACTATTTAGCTGAATGTTGAATTGTGAAAAGCTTTCGTAGGTTTCTGCTTATGAGCACAATAGGACTAGAGACTGAGTGAAAGAGGAGAATGTGGTACCTTACTAGGAAAATGCTGTACAAGAAAGGAAGATGTTATCGATTTATGTCTTCCACAGTATCAGAAAGAGAACAGCAAATGACATCCAAAGGCAGAACACTTAAAACCAGTACATATATTTGCCTTCATGCTATACAAAGCCAGCTACTAAAATGCAATGCCATAAAATGCTATATGGTAGTGCTGTGGAGTTTGGATTCATGTAGCAATGAAATGAGTGTAAGCATACAGGCAATGTATAATTAACTGACTATTAGCTGGAAAAAAAGAGTATGAAATAGATACAAACCACTTTTCAGGGTACAAACAAGCACGTGACTGGGGATCAGAAGATTTTACTGTGGGTGAATAACATCCTAGCTACTGTTCTGAGGTTTCTTTGTGATTATCTTGTGCCTGTCTGTCCAGTTATCTATGTTAACAATTTGGCAGTAATTCTTTGGAGGTTATATTCCAGATGGGTTTATAAAGATACTTAGTATTTGTTTTAATAAACAGCATCTAGACTATGAAATGTTGTGAATTTTAAATAGGTCTTGAGAAGTAAAAATAAAACTGGTAAGAAATTAAAGTGTAATGGACTGCTCTATTTTGCTGCTCCAATATGAGTGATATGAAGCAGGTTGACTTCATAAGTAAATGGAAGGAGACCATATTTTCGAATTTTAATCTACAGGAATGTTCTGAGCTACTATTGCCATCACCAAAAAAAAAAAAAACAAACCACCCAAACCACAAAAAGCCTAAGCTTTTTCCTGTCTCATGGCTGGGCAGTTGTTGGTCTGACCCAACCCTGCCTTTGGCCACGTCCTGTCACTGCAACTTGTCCAGCCCGTGGCAACAGCGGTGTCGATGCAGAGCATCATTTTCCTAACAGATGGAAAAAGGGCAAGTGGGAATGCCACCCTCCTGCTTGCCTCTTACTTGCGTAAAACTGGCTCTGGGTAATGTGTTTTTATCTGCAAAGCAAATGGGATTATTTAGCCTGCACCTCTTGGCTCTGGGATCCTTTGGTCTTGATATTAGCCAGCTTGGGTTAAGGTTTTAACTCATGTAGGACTTTAGGACAGTGTCTTTTTAAACTGTGTATTTTATATTTTTATATACTGGCATATAATAAAGGGTCCTCAAGCTGTATAAAATGTCCAGGCTGTTTCAGAGATGTACCATGTTGGTATTTTTCTCTGCCTGGGTAGCGTGTTCCCAGTTCTAGGAGAGCAGTAAGGTGTAAAGGAATCACCCCAGCAGCTCTGGCTGAAGATGCGACTTTGAAATGTAGCTGAAATGCTGCCCTTAGACATTTTACAAGTCACTGGATGAAATAGGAAGAATATTCTTTTTCTCAAACCACTGCTGGCAGAGGCATGGGACTAAATCCACACAGTGAAAAGATACTTTGTTTTGGTGGTAGAAGATTGAAAGCATCATTCATCATTTCTTTGTTGCATGACCCTGGGGGAATGATTCATCTACTAAATACCACACCAGTAAATTTTCTCATGAAGTCAGACATGGAAGAAAATATAACCTGTTGGTTTTCAGTCAGTTTTCAGCACTGAGCCCCTGCAAATCAGCTGAAATAAGAGAATTGCACTAATTGAGTGCATTTTTCCCTTTCATAAATGCGACTATCAAACCAAGCAGATAAAAATCAAGCAGACTTTTGTTTTCTCTTTTAGTATACCAGAAATTACTCATATTTTGGAAGCCACACAAAGGGCCTTTGAATATCTCTGCTGCTTTCATCTTTGCTTATATAAAGCTGTGTATGAAAGGAGCACTGAACTCTTGTCCAAGCTGTTTGCAGATGGACTCTGTTGTGGTCTGCTCAGCTTTAAAAAAAGCCACCTGAAATTTCTGGGAAGCCTGAGGGAATCCTGAGTGTAAGACCTATATACAACACAAACAGAGTTTTGACTTCCCTAAATTGTCAGAAACTGCAGTCTTTAACCACCCTAAGGAAAAAGGAAGAA